GGCCGTGGCGGTGGCCGTGGCGGTGTTGGTGGCGGCAGCTGTGGTACATGTCGTACGAGTGATAGTAGGTAGTAATCAGTAGTCCTCCTATTACTAAGAACAGTAGGAGGAGGCGCTCGGCTGGGAAAAGCCATCATGCGATACGTGCATGATCGAGGTGTTGAATGAGGCACAGTGACTTTGAGCTCCAGCCAAATCTTGTGACCGCTCGTTTTTGGACAGGATCATTATGTCCAACAAGGGAGTTGCTAGATATCCCCGCAAAGGGCAAAGGTTTCTCAGCTCATGTGCAGTCGAAGCAGTGTGTTATGGTCTCTTCCTAATTGATCAAGTGCTTTTACCCTCGAAATGCAGCCATTCAATTCCATTGCTATTGATTGAGATCGTGACTTTCTGCCGTGTGCCATCATTGGCATCATCGCCATTCTGCTGGTGTTATCATTGATATCATGCCCATGCTGTAGTGTTCTTGTCATTAACATCATGATCCTTGTGGTCAGCACTCAGCCGGTTATTCTGGCCACCGCCATCCTGATTTGCATGATGATTTCGTTCTTGTTTTTCCCTAAACCCGAAACCCGAAACCCTAAAACACCAGCAGTGGGCCTCCCTTCCATCGACCCCGCCTCCTGAACCTTTCACCCTTCATGCCCTAAATCCCAAAGCTCAATATCCCCTAACTTCTATATGAGCCATAATCTAGACTCGTAAAAGGATGTTATGTAGGGGATTAGGGTTTAGGGTTTAAACTCCTCAAAGGGGTTATATGGGGGATTATGTAACCTTGTGTATTTAGGGTTTAAATTAGGGCTTAGGATTTACGCTCTAGGGTTTCGGGGGTTTAGGGTCTGAACTCCATAAAGGGGTTATAGGGGATTACATAGGGGAGTGTTATAGGCGTTATTAAGGGGGATACTAGGAGTTTAGACTACAGCTCATGTAAACCTAAAACCCTAAAGCCTAAACCCTTTTTGTTGCCCTTTATGCCAGGTCTCCTGGGGTGTGCAGAGCTGCTGTACGAGTTGATTTCTGGATCCAAGGATGATGGCATGAGTCCAAGGGACACAGGCCTAGCCGCCTACACGCGGTTTAGGTTTTAGGGTTTAGGGTTTAACGCGAGGGCCTAAGTAGTTCTTGTATGGTCATAGGTGAGTTTTACTGTTTGATTGAAATCATGGTCCCATGCATTCCTAGTATGACTATCATACCGGCGACCGAAGCAATTCTTTAGATTAGTATGTCCAACGGAACATGGAATCCAACATACCCCCCTTCATTTGACAGTAGTATTTATGGGGTTCCTGCCGTGATTCCATGTTACTTTGGGAGTCATGTAGAGGAGGGAGTAAGGCATGAAGGTGAATATGAGCTATCCTGAACATAGGATAGTGCTGTATTTGGGCATCTTAAAGCGCTGAAGCCTGAAAACCCTGCCACCTACTCCCTAAGCCCGAAGCCCTCAACAGTAGCTGGCTGCTTGGTAACCAGCCCTTTGTGTTGCACTGCACCAGCTTGAAGGCCATCAGGATCAAGCCGTTTAGGTTTTTTGACATTACCGCTCCAAATATTGAAGACTCACATGGAAAAACAAAAGAAGTGTGAAATGGAAACTGGGTTTCAATAAAGACTTGAGGAGGTCCATTTAGGATTTCGGGTTCAGGCGGTTTATGGTTTAGGTGTTTCGCACCAGACCAAAGGTGTGGTGCACTACACCCTCCTCTGCTCCGTTAGTACATCTCTACACTACACATGTTATCAGGCTGCATGTCTACTCCAGTACCAAGGCAGTAGGCCTGTCACTCGGCCATCTTTTGTGGAACATCCGTCAAACTTGCAGGGCCTACAGGCACAATTTGAAGAGAAGTCCCAGCCCACAACCCATGAACCGAAAATCACTCGTACCTTCCCCATTCAGAGGGAAACGTACCCTAAACCCTAAACCCTAACCTACTAACGAAAAGTAGACCCAGAAGTGTAGGACCATAGCCCCCAGACAGGATCTTCAATCCCCCCAGCATATGTCCCTAGACTGTATGCCTTAAACTCCCACGCAGGCAATGGAGGCTTCCTTGCACTCTGCCACGGCCCACGCAGTGTGGGGGAGACCGGCGGCAGCGAGTTCTTGGCCTCGAATCGGGTTGCTTCAAGACATATAGGGATGTATGGGGGTGTATATATCGGAATTTCCCTAAATAGGGGGACCCCAATATAGACACACAAAATACTGTAGCCCTTATTATAGGGACCCCAGAAAGGTACCCCTAATCTTGGGAAGCCCCCACATATATATATATATGTATATATATATATGTATATATATATATCTATGTATATATATATATAGATATGTATACTCCGGGATATACTGGAAGCACGTTTAGCGTCCGGGGCTTGGGGGCTTCCGGGTGCAGAGTTTTAGGGTTAGAGAGGTTTGGGTAAAGGCCTAGGGCTTGTGTGGGGTGAGGATGTCGCGGTGTAGGGCTTCCCGGGTGTTGGGAATTCCAGTGTTGTCGCAAAAGAGGAGCCAGAGAGTCTGTTACAGGTTTAGGGTTTGGGGCTTAGGGTCTAGGGTTACCCAGACCCGTGATTAATCAACCCCCCCACCCCCCCTAATAGGGATTATAAGAGGGATCCTAATATTAAGGCCCTTAACAGGGGGGGCTATTAATCATGGGTCTCCATTATCTTGCCTTGCGAGGGGCACCTAATTCCCATAATTGACAGGCTTCATCATCACTGTCTAATGCAGCCCAACCATCCAACTGGCTCCTCTTGCTTCCTGGTTGTTAGTGAAGTTAAAGAGAATACGCGGTATAGGGACTACAGCATGGGGCCAAGCATATAGCGACATCTAGAACGATTCATGCCCTTATTGCCTGCTAATCGCTAGTAAGTTAGGTTTTCGTTCTAAGCCTCAAGGTCAGATCACTCTCGAATCCTCAAACGAACACAAACAAAAGCAAAAAGACGCGCAGCAAAAAGAATTTGCAAACTCTTGAAAAAAGCCAAGGTTGGGACACCTTGCTTCAAGCTCTGAATTTAAGAGTGAGGCTTAGGGCCTAGGGCTTATTGTGTAAAAGGGGCTGAAGCAATCATGCTGACGTGCAAAACCGCAGGACCCTAAACCCTAAACCCCAAATTGTAGTTGTCATTTTATTTTCCATTGTCCCAATATAACCCCAATATAATCCGAATATAACCACAGTTGCTTCTGTTAGAGTTTGCATCAAGATCCTCGGGGACAACATGTAGAACTTAGGGTTGAACTCGCTTCGGATTTTCCGGTTGTTGTTAGGGAACTTACATTAAGTTACCATAATGGGTTTATGTATATAGTAGTAATAACAGGATTTCCCCAATGTAGTAAGTTGAATTAAATTCCTTGACAGCAACCATGTTTTGCACTGAGAGTTTTGTGCTTGCAGCTTGTGCCGCTACTGAAACTCAAGGCGTCTAGGGTAGCTGAAACAGGAGTCTCAGATATTTTTTGCAAGCTTGAGTCATTGAACTTTCAAGCGTATGCCTTAAGCCTCAAAGCCTGCAACAGCTTAAAGAGGGCCAAAAGCAGGATAGGCAGCCTTATGCTTTTACCATAGGACCCTTCACCAAAATTCCCACTATATTTAGGATATAAGGGTTATGGTTTATGGTTCTGAATTGTTTCATAGGTTCTCTTACTATCTCCCTGTAGCCTACCCCCCCCCCCCCTAGGTTCCGGCTAATCAAACTTTCTTAGGCCCAATTGTCCAAAGGCCTTAATTAAGGGGGGAACCTCGGCGGGGTAGTCCAGGGGTCTGGTAGTAGTAGGGGAACCGATGATTGCTGTTGCGGTGCTAACTAAAGACCCTAAACCTTTACCGACAAGCTAGAGCATCGCGTTGCTTGCAATTGCTATGTGATCTGGAAATCCTTGCTACATGAGCCATCCGTGCGAGTCATCATTACATAAGCATTTCTTAAAGCCAGGGTCCCCATGAACAAATCCATTCAGATGACCCGTTTTCAGGACTCCCCAAATGTCGCGGATGGACAAAAGCTTACATGACCCCATGTACCTAAACCCCAGGAGTGATGATTATACTTGAGACTATGCAGGACCTTGTCCACCAACCGTAGGACAACGAACTCTCCAAAGTGTGTCTTAACTGCCTGATTCTCAGGCCGGATGGATGATCAGTCTACACAGCCCTAAACCCAAAACCCTAAAACCCACAACCCTAAACAGCCCTAAACCCTAAACAGCCTTAAACCCTAAGCAGCCCGAAACCCAGAACCCCAAACTGGCCCTAAACCCTACAGTTTAGAGCTTAGGGGTCTAGGGTTTGGGGTTTAGGGTTTGGGTTTAGGGTTTAAACCCCAATCCCCATGTCCCAATCTGATCCTGAGGTCGGATGGCTCTTGCTACATACCCTTTGTGGTGGACTCCCAAAGCTGCAGTCCCTGCCAGGCACTCAGGCAACCATTGTTGCACAGGAATAGGGTTTAGGGTTAGGGTATAGGATTAGGGTTATAAAGGGGATTATATAGAGATAATGAAAAAGAAAATCGAAATTACTGTTTATGTTATATCCCGGGGTTTGTAAGGTATACCAACCCTTGGGTGTTTGTTATGCTTTAAAGCTTGGGGTTGAGGGTTCAGGCCCTCTGGTTTAGGGCTTTACGGCTTAAAGTAAAAGAGCCACAATTTTGCTTGTTCTTGTTCTTGTTGTTGTTGTTCCATTCAAAAGCCCTATATCTCCTTGTATAGCACTTTGTAACTGGAGGAATGAACCCAGTCCGGGAAGCTGGAAGATGTCGTTGATTCCCTGTATCGCTTTGACCTACATATTCTTTTAGCTATCGACTTTACCTATCGTCACAAATTAAGACAAAGAGTTGTATAGGTTTTGATAGCATTACATAGGGTTCTGTAGGGTTGTTTAATGTTATATAGCTACATGCGGGGTTTTGGGCTTTGTGCTTCCCAGCCTTGAAAACACAGATTGTTCGTCCTGTCTCACTGCTTTGTCGAGCATGGCTGTGTCAATATCATCGATTAAGGGTTAAGGTTGTAGGGTTGAAGTTTTTCAAAACCCCCACAGAATCCTTGGTAGGCCCTCCCCCCAATCTGTCTGCAATCCCCACACATCTCCAGGGTCCCTTGCAGCCTCTCATTTTGAGAAACTCTTAACCCTGATCCTTAAAGGGCAATGTAGACGCGCAAATTATGGCAGAGGTACCCCAAATGACATCACAATGATACAGGTAGTTAGGCGCCTATAACCTATACCTAATATTCCGAACTGTCCACCAGTTTTGAGACCCTTACATGTCTTCTCGGCTCGTGCCCATCCCGTGCTAGGTGGTGGTTTTCCAAATCAGTAAGTGGTCCTTGAAAGGGGGCGTTGAGGGGCTACATATGGTTGTGCAGGGATATGTTTAGGGTTGTGGTTTTAACGCTCTCCGCTGCCGATGATGACGATCTGCACTTCGAAAGCACTTGTCAAGCAAATGCTACTCTCCTTGATTCCTCAGTTGCTTGTTGGGCTTCTGCTGCCTGCTTGGCACAGTATCTACGCGTATATGTGCAAGTCTCCATGCACCCCCAGCGCGCCATCTCAGACCATCCACGCGCTGAGGTGCCTGCAGAGCATGCTACACTGGCAAGGCCGCCTTTGACAGCGACTCTTTCATGCAAGACATGAATATGGGGATATATTATTGGGTTATATTTGGATAATGGAAAAGTGGAGACTACTTTAACTATAATGGGCTATATAGGGTTTAGGATTTAGGGTTCAAGACACGGGCACCGCCTCCAAACCCTGTAGCAGCTTTCGCCCGCAGAATCTGATTGAAGACCGGGGTGCTTACCATCACTGCTGAAGGTTTCGGTCGGGAAAGGTTTGATTCCACAGCTTCTTGGTCTTTAAGATGGGATCCAAGCCACAAAGGCATTGATTTGTTGCCAAGTTGAGCGTATCGCCTTGTCAGCTACAAAAAGGAAGCGCTGTGGAGATGTTTTTTTTTCATTCTTGCCTTAGGAATCTAAGGATTATCGAGCACCACGCTTACCCAAACAGAGGGATTCGGGACTTCCTACCCGAGCCCGCTATCTCCAGGTAGGTATGGTGCGAAGCAGTAGTATATCATTATATCATCTACTAGCTCTAAGGGACTTAGAGTTGTCGCCTGGCTCTCTTCAAGGAATCTACAAGCATGGCGACGCACAGCTTCGTCAATGTGCCAGATGTGGAGCTCGGGGCAGGCTTGCTGGCAGTGATGGGCACCTCTCACGGGCCAAGTGGGGGAATGTATGAGAGGTGGACTCCATAGATAAGAAGCAGGTACCCTCGGTAAAGGTAATGCCTCGGAAATTCGTCAAAATGCAAGCTTAGACAGGCCTAAATGAAAAAGTAAGGGTATGTGGGCTAAGTAGAGTCAAGCGCATTTTCGTGACACGAGGTCTGTGGGGGGTGGCTTATATTCTATCTACTTAAGGGGACTATAGGTTGCCATAGCGCTAGTTCGAGGCCAAAGAGGACTGAGTTCAGCCTTTTCGAGGGCCTTTCCCGCCGTCCCAAGAAATTGCGGCTGCGGGAGGTGTATGCGTGAGGTCCGCATCCCGCAAGTTGCTGCAGCCGTGATTGGATCAGTCATCTTTCCATTGCCCCTACCGCCGCCCCCGTTCAGCTGCCAATATGGCTGTCGCAAGGGCACTTGCTCTCTTTTTGTTCCAGGGCCTATATTCAACAACGCAATACAACACAACTCTTTGACATGTGTTTTGGTGCAGTCCTAAGAAAGATCACTGCAGCAAAAGATCACAGGCTGCGTCCTAGGATAGCCGAGGTTCTACGTGGCTGGAGTTGTGGCGTCGGATTCTTCCAATTGCCAGGCGTCCGATGTGCGCTCGACAGCCCTGCTACAGCGCGAGGCTGTTCGCTCGGATGACGAGGGCGTTGCCGAGGCCTCAGACGAGGAGGAGGACTACATTGTCGAGGACCGACCAATCCGGGGCTTCTGCAATCAGAACAAGGTTATTTGGGGTCACATCACTCACCGTATGGGCCTTGATATCTTCGCACTCTAGACATGTCAGCAGATACCTCTATGTTCTGAATTGGATTCCTATGCTTGGGCTGTCAGAGTACAACATTTCTACATCAAGATAGTTTTTGAAAGATGTTCGCTGCGTCAATGCCTTATGAATACCGCCACTTGAACCCCGTCCCACCCTGATAGCCCCAATACATGCTTAGGCCCTGGGTCCCTGAAGGCTCCCGTGTTTCACAAGCCCTTTTCATCTAGATCTAGACTGGGTTGCTGTTAAGGAGCTTACATTAAGTTACCATAATGGGTATATATAGTAGATAATAGGGTTTCCCCAATATAGTAACTTAAATTAAGTTCCTTAACAGCAACCCAGTAGACTGACACCCTATATTGGCCGTATATCCTAAACCCTTTACATCTTCGATTGACAGAAGACCTGCCAGGCTTACCTTGCGCGGAGTCTGTCCCAACGGAGTACTAAGGTTTCGGGTCTATAGGGTTTAGGGTGGGTGTTCCCTACGTTCCCTTGCTGTGGATTCCTGCATGGGACTCGTGCCGGACCAAATCCCTTGCAAGCGAAGGAGTACGTATTGACCCTAAACGCTAAACCCGTAAACCCTTTAAACCCCTAAACCCTAAACCCTAAACCCCTAAACCCCTGAACCCTAAACCCATGTGAAGCAGGCCCTCGTTCTTTTTTCCGCGACTTTGTTGGGTTGATGGTTCCTCCAAGTATGATACATATCTATGCAGGATAAGTCTACAGCAGTGTTTCCATTTTATTGTCCATTATCCCCGATATTAACCCCAACATACTATAGTAGCTTCCATTATCCCCCATTATAACAACATAAGTCTGATGCAACTTATCTGTTGGGTACTGCCCCCCCTCAGTAACAGTTGGATAATATTTACAATATGGTTATACATAGCCCTTAATAGGACCCCTACTATAGACTGTTACTGGGTGGGGGCAGTACCCAACTTATCTGTTCCAAATGCCTGCAGAAATGTGGCCTCAGGAGGACGAGCTTAATGCCAAAATTCATAGCCAGAGGCGGGCGGTTGAGTAAAGTGTGGCTTGCCACTTATAGTCTTGAGGGAGCTTGCGTAGGGATCCTTGCACTTTTTTTGGTTTGTAATTGGCTCCCTAAGTCCTAAACCCTGAACCCTAAGCCCGATATAATCCCAGTTTCCACTTCATTGTCCATGTTCTTTTCCATCTGATTCTCCATTATGGAGGGGTGGGGTAATATCCGAAACCCTAAACCTTTTCTGAAACAGGACTGGGTCAGAGTCCGGCTGGGGAACACGCCGCCGTAGACGCCGCCGCAGAACAACGACCACGACGACCACGACTACGACTACGACTACGATCCCGTTATATGTGGGGCCTATTGAAGACGAACTCCGTGAGATCAAGGACCCTAATATAACACAACCCCAATAACTACAGTAGTTTCCATTTTCTTTTCCATTATCCATATATAACCCCAATATAACCCTATAACATCCGTGAGATCAAGGACCTCATGCACGAGGAGAAGGCGAAGCTCGAGCAGCTTGAGAATGCGCGCTCGACGGCCCTGCTACAGCGCAAGGCTGTTGGCTCGGATGATGAGGGCATTGCTGAGGGCTCATCAGGAGTTGAGGGCAATGAGGAAGACTACATCGAGGAGGACTGACTAATGCAGGGCTTGTGCAATCAGAGCAGTGCACTTCGGTTATTGCACTTGTATGCGCATGCTGATTTATGGTTGGCGATTGCTTGTTGTATGCTATGTATCTGTACATTATTGCCAAACAGCCACTTCAGCTGGTGGCTTCCTTTGCTTGCGCTAGTATGGCCTCAGCAGGAGAACGCGGCTGATAGGCGGGAGGTTGCACCAACTGGTTGTCACATGATTGGTGCTGGCTCTTTGCGGTTCGACACCAGGGATGCTTGTGGTACAGGAACTCTGGTAATCCTCTTCGTTTTTTCCCAGTGGAGGGGTTTCTCAATCTTTTTGAAACAGGGCTGAGTCTGGAAAGGGCTTCTGAAGACGTCGCCATTCCCCTGCCCGACTAAAGTCTTGAAGGGGGGCAGGGAATGGCAACAGCTACCCATAGGACATTTTCACCTGCCCGAAAACGTGTTGAGGACACCCCCTGAAAATCTGAGCATAGCTCACCCCTGCTTAGAGATATTCATTTTTCCTCAAGCAGGATACAGCAGATGTAGTCTTGAGGGAGGGGGCCATCAAAAAGAGCAGCTAGGTGGAACCCGCGACGCCGCCGGACGCGACGCCGCCGGACAACTACCACGACAACGACCACCACAACTACAACACCGATGTGGTTGACGCCTCTTGCGGATGAACTCCACGAGCTCAAGAGCTTCGCGTACGAAATCAAAGCCCACCTCGAGCGGCTGGAGAACGCGACAGCCCTGCTGCAACGCGAGGCTGTCCGCTCGGATGATGAGGGCGCTGCCGAGGTCTCAGCAGAGATTGAGGAACATGAGGAAGACTACATCGATGAGGACCAACTAATCCAGGGCTTGTGTAATCAGAGCAGGGTACTTCAGCTACTGTACCTGTACGCGCATTAGGATGAGTCTGTTTTTGCTGCTGCCCCCTACATGGATTTTTATGAACATTTGCCATATATCATCCCGAAGAGGGACCCCCATCATCCCCTGATAGCCCCAATATTTCTCCAGGGCCTTTGAGGGTCCGAAGTTTTGAGAAACCCTTTTTATCCGGAAGCCACTGGAGCCTTACAAGTAGCATGATTACTCTGCGCGGACTCCGTCCCAACGAACTGAGGTTTAGGGTTGCCTTGCCCCGACTCTGTCCCAACGAAGTGATGGTATCTCTGTTGACGGGTGTTCCCGCCCATGCATTACTGCATAAGGCTCCTGCCCTCTGTAATCAAAACCCCTTAGGATACGAAGTCACTACGAAGTCTCAATAACTCTCTTGCCTTTGTTCTTTTTTGTTCTTGTTGGGTTGGCGATTGCTTGAAATATGTTCTGTACCTTTACGTTCCTTATACATCAGATGTCTACTGCCAAATGGCCATTTCAGAAAAGGACTTGTTTGTTTGCGCTAGTATGGCCTCCTCAGGAGAACGCGGCTGATAGGCGGGAGGTTGCACCAACTGGTTGTCACATGATTGGTGCTGGCTCTTTGCGGTTCGACACCAGGGATGCTTGTGGTACAGGAACTCTGGTAATCCTCTTCGTTTTTTCCCAGTGGAGGGGTTTCTCAATCTTTTTGAAACAGGGCTGAGTCCGGAAAGGGCTTCTGAAGACGCCGCCATTCCCCTGCCCGACGAAAGTCTTGAAGGGGGGGAGGGAATGGCAACAGCTACCCATAGGACATTTTCACCTGCCCGAAAACGCATTGAGGACACCCCCTGAAAATCTGAGCATAGCTCACCCCTGCTTAGAAATATTCATTTTTCCTCAAGCAGGATACAGCAGATGTAGTCTTGAGGGAGGGGGCCATCAAAAAGAGCAGCTAGGTGGAACCCGCGACGCCGCCGGACGCGACGCCGCCGGACGACAACAACGACAACGACCACCACAACTACGATTCCGTTGTGGTTTGCGTCTCTTGCACAAGAAGTCCACGACCTCAAAAGCTTCGTCTACGAGATCAAGGCACACATCGAGCGGCTTGAGAACGCGACGGGATCATGAGGACGCATAGGATTTGAACGACGAGCCCACCAGTCACAGCATACTGAAACATGATGTAGGGCCTCTAGGCATACATGTTAGGGTATGGTTTGGGATCGACGTTCGAGATTGAGCGGGCTTTTAGCTGCCGCCCGGTGCCCGCTTTGGTAGTTCTAAGCCAAGTACATTTTGGCGCCGGCACAGCCACTTCGGCCACGGGGTTCTCAATCCAGCAACAAAGACGGCAGCAAGTGCTCTGTTTGAGTTGGTCCCTGATTCTCTACCCTTCGCAAACTAATGACTAGGGAATCCATTTATTAAAGGACAGTACCCATTGTAGGACGCTTTTGGGGTTTCTATGTTGGTCTTTGCGTAAATACTTCAAGCAACCGGTGGATCGGTACATCTTCTTCAGAAAATGATGGCCCCACAACAGAACCTCACTTAGTCCGCCTCAGTCCGAATAAGCCCCGAAGTGCTGCCTAATGCATCGTTTGATTGAATGCAGTATTGCGTCGACCAAGGGAGGTTCTTCAAACTTGTTCCTCTGCAATTAGGTCATCAGGTTTAGGGCTAATTTTTAAGGGTACCCCCCACAATATGATCCTTATGCATTCTTAGCGTCCATGAGGATACCCTTATTTTGAAACACACCCCCGGGCAAAGGGATATGCGAAAGTTTGGGACGCAGGGACTTGTATAGGTTTTAGGCTTCAGCTCCAGGGAGGGTGGTTTAGGGTTTGGGTGTATGTTGGAATGAAACTGGTCGCGGACCTCTCACATCTCAAACGGTTACAGCGCAGCAAGTGAGACAAGAAGATGATCTACTTATGGGATTTGGGAACCATCATCCAGGGCAAAGGCAGTAGTTTGGGGTCGAGGGTTTTTCCTGGATATGTTGCCTGTATGCAGGAAGCTGGAGAATCATGAATAAAACGCTCATTGTTGAGGTCCCTACCTTTGAGAGGTTAGTGATACAGTCCCCTTAAACCTTCAACCTCCCACCCTGAGCCATAAACACAAACCCCAAAGTTAAAGCCGCGAAGGTTTTGCATTCGAGGCTTTGGAGAGGCGTTTCCGGAATGAGCTGCACAACAGCGACGGCGATTGGCGGGCTGTTCTTGCCTGAGTTTTGGGTTTCGGGCTCCACGCAGTTCAGGCATTAGGGTTTAGGATTGGGGTTTAGGAGGCCAAACATGTGCGGTCCAGACGCTCCATAGCCTAAACCGTAAACCCTAACAGCCTAAACCCTTAAAGAGCTATATAGTCTAAACTCCCAGTCTCCCCCTTAATAACCCCTATAGCAGTCCCCATATAGTCCCCTATATAACCCCCCTTTAAGGAGGTTGGACCCTACACCCTAAACCCTAAACCCGAAACCCGTAACCCTAAACCCTATAGCAGCCTAAAACCCTAAAAGGGGGGATGCGCCTCTGTGGATTTCTGTCCGGGCCCTGGGAGTGGAGCCTCCCTAAGTGGGATCCTAAAAAGGGTTTAGGGTTTAGGATTTAGAGTTTAGGGTTTAGGGTTCAGGTTTTATCGTCTAGGATTTAGAGTTTAGGGTTTGGGGTTCAGGGGTTGAGGTTTGGGGGTTGAAAGATTTCTCTGGAGCCTTGCTGGTCTAGGACAAGGATTGGACTGTCTCAAGTCTCAGCTCTACCTCGAAAAACCGTGTGCCCATAGCAAGGGGCTTGGCACCGAAGGTCTTGGAGTTTAGGGTATAGGGTTTAGGGTATAGGGTTTAGGGTTTAGGGTTTAGGGTTAGGATTTAGGGTTCAGGGTCGGGGGAGAGGGTTGTTGGGATGAATTTCGATAGCAGTTTGATTGGAGTGTGCAACTAGTGGACCACGTGCACACAAAACCGCGAAACCCGCAAGCCCGAAATCGAAGTCCAAAAACCTAAGCGCAAAGCCCTTATCCTCAAACCTTATTTAGCCCTACACTCCAAACTCCCCAACTAGCTTTAATTAAACCCCACATGATCCCTAGAGCCTGAGCCCTAAACCCTGATCCCTAAACCCACATCCCTAAACCTGAACCCTGAACGATCCCTAAAGCCTAAACCCTAAGCCTTGAGACTGAAACCTCAAATTCGAATGTTTCCCATATAGCGGTTACATATCTCTTTATAATCCCCTAAACCCCCCACATACACACAAATATATATATATATAGATATATGTATGTATATACAGACGTACATACACACACCTTTATCCCTAAACCCTACACACTAAACTAAACCCTAAACCTTGCACCCTAAACCGTGCTTAAGTCCTTAAACCCTAAACCTTAAACTCTAGACCCTAAACCAAAGACCTTCAACGCAAAACCTAAACCCTAAACCTTAAAGACTAATCCCCAAACCCTAAAGCCTAATCCCCAAATCTTAAACCCTTTATGAACCTCCAAGCATTTAGGCCCGGAGCCTCGGTCATTTTCTCTCCTCCATGGGCCGAACCGAGGCACGCCTTGGGGCTGCTATTTAGGGTTTATGGTTTAGGGTTTAGGGTTATTTAAGGATTAGATCGGGATTTTATAGGGGTTATATAGGGATAATGGAAAAGAAAATGGAAGCTACTATTTGGTATATTGGGGGTTATATAGGGATAATGGAAAAGAAAATGGAAGCTATTATTTAGGGTTTAGGGTTCAAGATTTTGCGTTAGGGTTCTAGAGATGGAGGGCCTTTAAAGGGTTTGAGGGTTCTATAGGGATAGGCCTTCTAGGGCCTTTAAAGGTTTTAGGGTTCTAGGGTTCTATAGGGGTTTTAAGGCTTTTAGGGTTCTGAGGATTTAGGGAGCTAGGCCTTTTAGGGATCAATGTGGTTTTAAGAGTTTGTTTTGAATGTTTTTGTGTGTGTTTTTTTAGGTGTTTAGGTGTTGAAAAATGTTTTAGGGGTTCTACGTGGGTTTAGGGTTTATTGGGGCTTACAGGGTTTTCAAGCGTCTTTAGGGGATTTTAATTAGAGGTTCAGTCTTTGGGATTAGGGCTCTATCAGACGGATATAGGGACTATAGTCTATGAGAGGTTTCCACAAATTAGGGGTAACAAGGATTCTAGTATTTTGGAATCTAAGTTGGGTCCCCGTGTTTTGGGAAACTACCATATAGTGTTTATAGCTTTGGTCCAAGTTTTGATGATGATTCGGGCAGAAAAGGTATAGGGACGTATCCTAAACCCTGACCCCTAAACCCTAAACCCTAAATCCTAAACCCTAAACATATTCCGGAACATCTTAGGCCCGGTTCCCCATGAAGTGCCCTAAATTCGAGGTCCCTGCAGCGGGGGGTCCGAGAGCTCGCGCTCTTAAATTTCCAGCCCTTTGGATTCAACTCCTTTAGCTCTTGTAGCTTAAGCCCTGAGGAGTCTGGGTTGCTGTTAGAACTTAAATTAAGTTACTATATAGGGGAAACCTTATAATTACCTATATATACCCATTATGGTAACCCTAAACCCTAAACCCTATACCCATTCTGGTAACTTAATTTAAGTTCCTTAACAGCAACCCAGGAGTCCGATTGCTTTGCACTGTCAGGAGGCCGTTGAGCTTTGGCTGAAAGCCTTAGAAATCGACGAGGCCGGTCCGACGTTGTTTCAATTAGGGTTTAGGGTTTAGGGTGTAGGGTTTAGGGTGCCAACACTCCAAGCCCCAAGCCTGCAGGTTCAGTGGTTTAGGGTTTAAGCCCCAAGCATCTCAGCCCTTGTCAGGCCTCTTCGCATGGGTAGTTCCCAAAACTAATGTCCCATTTTGGCATCCATAAATTTTATGTGCCATAATACCAAAAAGGGGTCCAACATTTTGAGAACAACCCTCGATGCCCAAAACCCACACTTCTAGACCGTACACCCTGGCGCAAGGCAGCTGACAGCAACAGCCTTCAGATGGCTCATTCTGCATCACTACTGGCCTCCTGCTTTGATGTTGGCAGCTCAGACTTTCCAAAAATTAGGGGTCAATTTTTTCGTGTTGATTGAAATTCTAGAGGGTTGGTTGCTTGAGGGTTCATAGGTGCTCATAATTATAAGGGCGAGTGTGATTGGGAGAACTAGCATTGCAACTCAATTTCCGGGACTTCTAACCCCACGATCTTCAACTAGTCACGGGGCCGTCTCAAACGTTTGGGTCCCCTTTCTCTGTGGCGGTTCTTACAAGACGAATCCCATCTGCTGACAAGGATAGGGTGATCGGACTCGGAACATTCATGTCACGACCATGGCCACATTTCTCGGACACAGCAGTCGGTCCGAGCCTCACTATTTCCGCAGACTAGTCAAACAGTGGTCCAGATCATCACGGAAGTGACAGCAACAAAAAGCAACAATGTCAGCTAGGGAAGCAGTAGTAGCATCCATGGCAACAACAAAAAAGAAAAGCATCTAAACGATTGTCAATTTTGCGATTGCATGGCGAACAAGAATCGCTGGATTCCATAGCAAACACTACAGTACAGGATCTGGGGCGTTCCGGCGAAGCGGAGCGCTACCACAACAAGGCACTTGCTGCCTTCGAACGCGCCTCAGAGTTTTCTTGCTTATGGCTGATGGTACCACTTCTGTTGCTCATACCAATAATAAACTGTACATCAAGGCCCCACACTGGAATCTGGAACGATACAGAAATGTTTAGGGTTTAGGGTTTAGGGTATACTTGCGGAGTTTGGGCTGGACTGCTTGAATTGAATTTGGATGTTTGTCCACAAAGATTGCAAGATGACTCACGCTTAGAGCCCCTGCCAAAAAACTGAACTCGTAATTTCCAAAACTCTAAGGTTGCAAGTAAGGGCCCTCATACTAGGGGCCCTGAAGTTGTATGTCGGGCCTATACTAGGTATACAAGGACCCTCAGGTCAAGGGTCCACATCAGGGGCCCCCACTTGGGCTCTCAGACCGACGCCCTTTAGCCAAGGAAAAACCCTAAACCCCAAACCCCAAACCCCAAACCCTAAACCCTAAACCCTAAACCCTCAACAACAGCCAAGGAAAAGGCTTTGGGACGCTCGAGCACAGAAGCGTCTTGCGCAGAGCTCGCCCTCACAACCTGCCGTTACGTCCAAGGTGCGGGTGGAAGCTTTGCGACATAGATTATTGCCTTTGTGTATTACCACTATATCATCATTATTACCAATACTTTCAATACGGTTATGCGTAGTGTTGCCATTACTATTGCTATTATACTTATTATTATCATTAAGTTTTCTGAGAGCAGGGAGTCCATTTGTGAACTGTCTCCTTGCTAGAATTACCTTGACCCTCTTGCTGACAGATGCTGCAAAGGACGCAACATTCTCCGGGTATAGGAATAAGGTTTAGGGTGTAGGCTTTGGGGTAGGGTTATGAGGCATATCGCAATCTATCGAATGGGAAAGTAAGTGGACAATGAAATGGGACTTAGAATTTCCAAAAATTAGGAATTACAGTGTTGGAGAGTCTGTATTGGGCTTCCCCCAATTTTGGAAACTACCAGCTTTCGGTGAAAGATTTCATGCTGGTGGTAGCTCTGTGGGCATTCTTTAGGACCCAAGGGACATTGTAGAGAGTAGAAGGGGATTGCGGGTGTCCCTAAAACCCTAAACCCTAAACCCTAAGCCGGATTTCCCTGGCCAGGATCCTATAGGATCATTCTCACACCATGGCGCCCAAACTGTCTCATGGGTTCCCCTACCACACCCCCTCCTATGCGACCTCGATTAGGGGTGTTTCGTCGTGAGTAGGTGTAGCTTCGGTTCATTTAATGGGACGTAAACTCTGTTGCAGGTTTGGGCAGGAAACACGGCATCCCGCCTTCTGCGGGCGAGAACCTTCTCAAGCTCGAGGCATCCGGGCAATGTAGACGCCCGAATCAGAAGGTCCATGGTGTAGAGGGCTTATAAACCATTATAGTAGTTTCCACTTTTCTACTATCCCTATATACCCCATTATAGTAGTTTCCATGATATTTTCCATTATCCCTATATAACCCGTTATAGTAGTTTCCATTGTATTTTCCATTATCCCTATATGACCCGTTATAGTAGTTTCCATTGTATTTTCCATTATTCCTACATGACCCAGTATAGTAATTTCCCAATGCGGCCCTCTATGGGTTTCCTGGGTCCTGAGCAGGCTCTTCATTGGGCTTGTAAGTTTATTTGGGGTGGGCCCATAATTCCAGCCCTATAGAATGATTGTCAGCATTCTTCCCTTATAACCTTTCTGTAGGCCTTATATCTATACCTGTATTATTTTTTGAAAATCCCCAATATTCCCGGTGTGATGACAAACCGAATGAAAAAGAAGGTGGAAAATACATGGACGGTGGCTTATAGCGTGTTTGATTGTAAACCCCTGGGTAGCTGTCCACACTGTTCCCTTGCAATCCTTACATCCTCTAATGGACCCCCCAAACCCAAGTCAAACCTCTGCATTTGGTGGTCATATGAGCCAGAATCGAAACTCCTTAAAGGGGGATATATAGGGGATTTTATAGGGGACTACCATAGGGGATATTTAGGGGGATACTAGGAGTTTAGACTATAGCTCATATCAAAGTCCCTGGGCTGCAACTTAAGGATCCCATAGGCTTTGCAATGGAGATAGGTGGGTTCTAAAGGTGGGTTCTTGAGCCTTCAAGGATTGCAGAGTAGACAGGGTAATCTGCTGTGAGATGCGCGGATGTCTGCGCACGGTTTTGTTATCACATGTTTTTTTCTCCGCACTTCCGATGGCATGGCAGGAAAATCTTGTCCCCACCTTACCTTAAACTTAGGGCCAGGGGCTCTCGCTGGATGCTGCAGGGTGCTTCTGCGCATGCGCTTGCGTCGATCTTCAGCAAGGCGGTAGGCAGCGACCTAAGTTGGCTGTATAGGGCAGATCCTTCATACGATTTCGGATTTATGGTTTAGGGTTTAGGGTTTAGGGTTTAGGGTTACCCCCCACAATCCAGAATCACACAGAAAAGAATACGGATAGCTACATGTTGATAGGGATAAGGATTTTTCTTTTCTCTTGCTATCAGGGATTGGCGTCAGTCTTGGGCATATTAAGTGGCTAGAAAAGGATCCATCTAATCTTTCCTACTATGGTACCCAATATAGAGTAAGAGTATATGCCCGTTTTGGGGTATTTTTTTGCAGAACATAATCTTACTTGGCTCAACCACCAAGAATTCTCTACTCAACAATAGGCAGGTGTCAAGACATTTCCAGGCGGCTGCCGGGCATGTGCTTCGTGAACGAAAGAGTCAAAGCGCCTACATCGTAATACCTTTGCCCCTCTGCATTCCTATTTAGTAGTTCCCGAAATGAGGGTACCCCAATGTAGACCCCCAAATACCATAATCCTTATTACGAGGACCTTTAAAATGGTACCCCTAATTTTGGGAACCCCCCATCTCGATATTCTCAGACCTAAGTAGAAACCATGCGGGTTCTCAGAGCCTGCCTTTGCATCTAAGTTTTTTTTTTGTGCGAAGTAAGGGAACCTTTGTTTCTGTTTCAACCAGAAGAGCACCACTTATTCATACTCACCTGGAAGTCCCTCAACCCTAAACCATAAAACCCTAAACCCTGAACCCTAAACCCTAAACCCTAAAACCCTAAAACCCAAAAACCCTAAAACCCTAAACCCTAAAACCCAAAACCCTAAAACCCTAAATCCTAAATACGATCCCCAAGAAGGGCCCCCAAAAACTCCCAATGCCCATGAACCCCGAGAGAATGAGGTCCCTTAAGGGGACCCCATGTGAGCTATGGTCTAAACTCCTTCAGGGGGGATATATAGGAGATTATAGAGGGGAGTATTATGGGGGTTCTTAAGGGGGATACTAGGAGTTTAGATTATAGCTCATGTTGAGTACCCCGCCATAAGCTTCGGAAAACTTGAGCCCTAAACCCTAAACTTATTGGTTCTGAGTAGGGAATATGGGACTATCATCCGTGTATAATCCCTCTATAATACAGATTTTCTTATTCCCTACTAAGAACCAGTACCTAAGTAAACAATTTTTTCCCTGCTAAGGTGCAGAGAAGGAGGAGGACTTGCAAAGTAGCGAGCGCTTCTACAGACAGGCACTTCGCTCTGGTTTAGGATTTAGGGTTTGGCGTTTGAAGCTTTGGGTTTAAGGTATAGGGAGTAGGGTTGGAGGTTTAAGGTTTTTTAGGGCTTCTGGTTTAAGATTTGGGGATGAGGGCTAAGGGCTTAGGGATGAGGGCTTGGGTTTCATGGGCACATCAAATTAGGGTGTGCCCTAGATCAGGCTGTAACTATTGCTATCCTGGAATATCCCTTGAGTCTCAAATACCCCTGCCTCAAGCCTTGGACCTAGACCTTCGATCCCGAAATTCTTGCATCCATACCCTGAAGCTGGTAACCCCGAACCTTCCCACTGGTTAGCCCAAACTCGTGTTTCTCTACAGGCATGGGGCAGCCTCCCTTTCCCCTCAAATTTCCGCCGTTGTTGAGGTTGTTTAGGAACAATCGGGCAAATTTAAGGTTAAGTAATTAAGGGGGAAACAACAGGGCGGGTAGTATAGTGGGAACGTAGTAGCCGGACCCATGACTATAAGATCATTTCAATGGGGTGCATGATGGTCTTGGCCGCATCAGGCGTTGGGCGTGTTACGACGAAGCTTGGGGCACGGAACTCAGCCAGTCCCGAGTGCGTAGGTTTCTTGCCTGGCGCTTGATATGAAACAGCGTTGCTATGCCTTTTAGGCATCTTCCTTGTACTAGTGAAAAGTGTCGACTTGAGAAAGATATAAATCTTCTTGCAGGCGGGAAGCCTACGTTGAAATGCGATTCCGCATGATGGCCTTACAATTTTCATCCCTCCGACTGATGTATTGCAGACAAAGCTGTCCGTACTCGATTATGATTGTAAACCTTGGTTTAGGCCATGCAGAATCTCCAACAGCTCTCGCAAATTTTGACTTCCCTACTCCCCTTGCAGCACAGGTTCAGATGGGTTTTGGCAAGCGATAGCGGACCAATCTCTCGTTCCCGAAGCTACTGCAGGAATCTATTTGCGGGACAAAGCTCCCGATCTCTCTGATCTCTCTGCCTCTCTCATTCTCTCTCCCTCTCTCTCTTTCTGCTCGTTCTCTCTATTTCTGCTCTTTCTCTCTGTTGCTGTCAATTTCTGTCTTTTTTTCTTTCTCTCTCTCTCTCTCTCTCTCTCTCTCTGTCTCTCCCTCTCCGTGTCTCTCTCTGTGGACCGAGGACCTACAGGCTTGAACCCTAAGCAGTAGACCCTAAAACTTAAACGCTACAAACAACTTTCAAGGAAGACCTTACGCATTACGATCAGTCCGCTGCACGTCAGTCTCACTGGGGTTTAGTAGGGAATAAGGAAAACGATCCCTATATAATCAATTTACATGATAAACCTGACTGTTCGGCTACTGGGCATAGATGGACATTCCCTAGACCCTAGACCCAAAATCCTAACCCCCAGCAAGCAGTGGTTCCAGGGGGCACCACCCCGACACCTTGCACTGCCTCAACAATCTGGCGCTCTGTCTCGGGGACATGCTCAGCTCTTCTGTGTGCTGTATTGCAATATATTGGGTACAGCTTAGGGTTTAGGGTTTAGGGTAATGCAAGTTTGGGTCATTTTCTGGCAGCCCCCCCAAAGCGATGTACATGCTTCTGAAATTTGATTCCCTGTTCTTGGAATTCCTTGCAGGTACTTGGGCCCCACTGTAGACCTCTTTTGCAATGCCGACATACATGATGCTACATTACTCTGTCATATTCAGCTTTGATTTGATTGAGTCATGTTAATTGTTGTATTGTTTCAGCATATTTATACATAGTCGGTCTCTAAGTGCCCTTGTATGACCTGCAGGACCAGGGGAAGCTCGCTGAAGCAGAGCAGCTTTTACGTTCTGATCTCAGTGCTCAGACACGCTGGTCCTCATCCGAAGGTTCATGCGCAGTGAAAAGAGCTTGCCAACTGTAGGGGACTGATCGCGCCTCTGACAAGTAACTATGAACCCTGCGGAAACCGCACCAGACCGCAGGCGGTTCGGTCTGTAAATTGAAAGCCCATTCCCTGTGTCCTTGCCGTGGATCCATCA